CTCTCTCTCATAGTTAAAAATAAAACCATTTTAAAAATGTGAAGTGAAACTAAATCACATGGTAGGAGGTAAGGATACTGATGTTTAGCGCTATCATTCAGTTACTGAAACTTCTTGGTCAGATCTTCAGAGTCAAATCCCCTGGAAAGATCCCAGTCATCTGCAGCATGATGTAGTGGTACTGGAGTTGTAGCTAAGTCTCAACCTAAGCATCCCACTTCAGTTTGTGTTATTTGCATTCTTCTCCCAATCGATTGTTACTTCACATCTTATGAGTGTCTTGGGAAGGGTATGAGAAGCTCCCTGGCATTCTTTCAGCAGTTCATAAATACCATCACAAACAAGGGCTGATAGGAGACTCTTGATGAGAGACAGGAACCTTCTTTATCTCCTTATGTCCTGACTCTTTGAAATGGTTCCTTACCATAGAGACATCTATACCAAGTATAATGGTGAACAGAAAGCTGGGATAGTGGGTGTAAAATCTACATAAATGCCAACCAGAAGGTCAGAAAAATTATTTGAAATGAAGAGAAGGAGTGAGGGTGTGGGGACAGGAAGGAGGTAGGAGCAGGCTGAAGAGATATTGACAGGAAGAGCCTTTTGTAGTTTTTTTTTTTTTTTTTTTTAATTCTAGAGGAGGTAGTTGCCAACCTAAGGAATCAGGAAAGGAAAACCACCTTTTCGTGTGGTTCCCTCCTAGATATGAGTTCCCATTTGCATATGTACTTGTGAGGTCATTTGTTTGACCTGAAATGTTAGTGCCTAACATGGACCAAGCTTGGGCCAAGAACAAGGGAAGATAAGGAACGGTCCCATGGTTACAGAACAGGCTCCTTTCCGTCCATGAATTCCAAGCTTAGCCATTCCATTTATTCTATTTTGAAAACAATGGCTTCAATTTTTAAATATTTATTTTCATTTATTTGTGTCTCTGAGTGTGTGTGTGTGTGTGTGTGTGTGTGTGTGTGTGTGTGTGTGTGTACATGAGCACACAGCATGCATGTGAAGGCCAAAGAACAACTTGTAAGAGTTCTCTCTTTCTACCATGTGGGGTATGGGGATCAAACTTGGCCCTTCCTCACTGAGCCATTTTGCTATCCCTGACCTCATTTTTAAGTGCTTATTACATGGCTAAAATTCCATCTTTTTTTTTTTTTTTCATTAGATCCCACCACAAGACCACAGGCTCCCAAGAGCAGGGCTTTCAACGTACTTATCTTTATATTTACAGCTCAATTGCTGCCATTAACACCTCTTTAGACTGATACTATTTAATAAGAAATGGGAGTTGGCCAATCCAGTTGAAGTTGCCTATGATTTATTTATAAAGCAACATGTAGAATGAGATATAAAAAGAAAAAAGAAAAATTATGCATAAGGAAAAAAGATGTAGAATGATGATATCTAATCTTACCCACTGATTTTTCAGCGTATCACAAATCAATGAGTAATAAATAAAAATGTAAGATCAGCCTACTTTTTAACCTTATATTGATTAGAAGAGTTGTTGTTTTTTTTTCCCCTCCCTAGATAGGGTTTCTCTGTGTAGCCTTGGCTGTCCTGGATCTCGCTCTGTAGAACAAGCTGGCCTTGAGCTCACTGAGATCTACTTGCCTCTGCCTCTTGAATGCTGGTACTAAAGGCTTGTACCACTACCACTTGATATAAGAGGTTGTTTTATCTCTAATCACACATAGGTTACACAGATAGCAGATTCATGAGCGTAGGTTTAAATGTTCATTCTTTTGATGATCTGTCCATCCATCTTGTGTTGTAGTAGATGCATTGTGCAGAGGAGCAAGGTAGGTGAAGGAAGCATCACTGACTTTTGGAACTTACTGATATCTGGCCCTGATAACATTTTGTCTCTGATCTTTCAAACCCCACTAATCTAAGAATAGCTAATCAATTCCTCCTTTGTGATTTCACAATCCTATGTTCATCTCGTTAACCATTATTCAACTGTGCCCACTACATACTGTGTTAGGAAGGAAACAAAGATATGAAATCAAAGAGATGACCTTGGTCCTCAAAGAACTGATCTACTTAAGAGGACAGCCTAGGAAACTGATGAGAGGGGCAGGCGATAGCAGTGCAGTAAGAGAACAGGTGAGCAGTGCAGCAGCCCTGTGCTCTGGGTGAGAGTGGGCAAGGAAACCCATGACGGCAATGTGGGTGACACCTTGACACATGGGAGACCAACACTGGGAGACACTGTTCTTTGGCTCCTCTTTGAGAGGACATTGCTGATCAGTGGTGGAGTTGGGCTCTTACGATGATCTCTTAGATCAGGGATTTGTTTTAGTCATCTTATGCTTAGTGCTCTGCAAAGGATGAAAAGAGACAGTGGATTGTGGAGAAAGGTGATGAAACTAATTTGAGTGATAGACGATGGAATATAAGCATCCTTAATAATCAGCTGCCAGGCTAGACACAGGCAGTCCTTTATGAGAAGGTGGCATATATCTCGGCAAGGTCATACAATCACTATTTTAGAAAATATTTTGATGCTTAAAGTGGTTCCCAAGATGTTCCAGTCATACAGCACTTTCTAACGATTGACGGTGTCTTAATCCAGTTGGAAGGGTTTTAGAGGCTGAATGGGGCTTTAAAACAATAGCCTGCTGTTCTAAGGCACATCCAGGCAGAAGAGGACCACGGCCCTACTTTGAGGCAGAGAAGAGAAATAGCTTTTGTTCCAGCACAAACTGTCATGTGTACGTTTGCATTTAGCACACACAGACTTTAGTTTATATCATCAAAGAGCTGCTGCAACTTCAAATCAAAGGCGAATGTGTGTGCTGGCTCGCGGCAGGAGCTGCCGCTTACTGCTCAGTGTCTTCAGCAAAACTGCTGTGGGGCCAGGGTGACACCAAGTGCCTGCTGGATGCAAATGAACATTTAAATGAGCTTGCAGTGGCAAAAGCAACAGGGTGGGAATAGAAGACCTGGACTCTGATTCCCAGCTTTGTGGGTACCTGGGTGGAAGAAAGAGGTTTTTTTATTAAGCTTGCCTACCTCATTGGGAAGGGGTAAGGAGCAATTGAGATTGCCAGTTCAAAATGTCAGCATCTGCTTTTTGTCCCAGGCGTACTGTATTTGGTGAGGACAACAAGGCCCTGCCTCCTCCTGTTATGAATCTTTAGATCGAGTAGGCCAGACAGGCATTAAACAAACTATTTCAAGTACGTGATTAAGATATGTTGATTGCTGTGGGGGGTGGGGGATGATTGGAAGTATTGGAAGGGAGACTGATGGCAGAAGGTTCTAGAAGGCCTTACCTGAGGAAATAGTAAAGAGGTTAACTTACCTGTGACCTGTGGATTTATAGTTAGGAGGGAAGCTGATGGTGATGTCCTTATCTCCCCAAACACTCTGTTCTGTCTCCCATTTGTGGTGTGATCTGTGCAGAGAGGTTGGGGGAAGAGATTTGGGAAGTATTTTTCCTTCTTTCTTATTGAACCATCAGCTTGTGATCTTTAGAAACAGTAGATGATTTATCAAACCCTATTTTAACACAAGTGGAGTCCAAAAGTGACTAAGGTCATAGGGCTTAGTGTGGGGTGGAGGGGGAGGAGTGTAATAGCACCACTCCTGTTTCCATTAACAGTGGGGATGTCTTCATGTGTTCATGAGAATTTTGTTTTCAGGACAGGGGTTCTCTGTGTAGCTTTGGAGCCTGTCCTGGAACTCACTTTGTAGACCAGGTTGGCCTCGAACTCACAGAGATCTGCCTGCCTCTACCTCCCAAGCACTGAGATCAGAGGTGTGTGCCACCACCGCCCAGCTGTTTATTAGAATTTTAAACTGCAAAACTTGGGGAGGTTGTGCTTTCTTTCTCTTGGTTGCTGACTGAAATGCCAATGACCACAGAGCAACAGCCTGCTCTCTATTGCAGTGTGTGTGTGTGTGTGTGTGTGTGTGTGTGTGTGTGTGTGTGTGTGTGTGTATCCAGCCTGTTGGCAAGAACACAGAGTCCATAGTGAGTGCTAAATTGTCTGTGAGACATTGAGCAAGTTATAGATCTCTCTGTACTTTAGTTTCCTGATGAGGGAAGTGTTGTATTATAACAGTACCTACCTTATAGGATCATTGTGAAGATTGAGTTATTACATAAAAAATGAATAGAATAGAGCTTGGAATATAATAAATGCACAATAAGGTTTTTTAAAGATAAAAAAGTCTTAAATAACAAACAAACAAAAACAGGAAAGAGAATAAGCCCCTTCCCCAAACCAGAAACACTTCACTGTGAAAAGAAAGAAGTGTTTTCAGGGCAGAAAACAACCATGAAATTGTTTGGGTGATGTTCCTGTTTCTGAGCTATAGCAAGGCAATGCCGTTTGTTTTCTGCTCTTCCAAACTGATCCCTGTCTTATGCCTCTCCAGTTACAGATCTGGGACACTGCGGGTCAAGAGAGATTTCGCTCAATCACCCAAAGTTATTACCGAAGCGCCAATGCCTTGATCCTCACCTATGACATCACCTGTGAGGAGTCCTTCCGTTGCCTTCCCGAGTGGTTGCGAGAGATAGAACAGTATGCGAGCAATAAGGTCATCACTGTGTTAGTGGGTAAGTAAGGGCTGGGGAGGAAGGAGAGTGATTTGGATGCATCAGAGAATTTATGGTCATGCAATGCTTATGTGCTGGTACCTTCCAAGAACATACTATCTAGTTATCTGAGTTATATAACCAACATTCAGTTCTACAACTGAGGAGGACATAAAGTAAGTTCTGTCCCATGGTGATAATTTAGAAAAATAAAACAAAAATATTGCTGATTTTCCTGTCAATTTGGATGAAAGAGTTAACAAGATGGTGGGTATTGCTGGTGTAAAAGTAAAATAAATCTTTCAAGTTGATGAAGAATTCATATTGAAGCAGTTTTTCTTTTAAAATGTATACTTTGGTGAATTTTTCTCTTCTTACTTTATGTTGACTTAAGACCTCCCTCCTGTGTTTCAGAATCCACTACGGGAAACGCTGCAGTTTGTCTTGTAGGAGGTGGGGGGCCATTTAATGGGGAGAAACCAGAAAATAACCCTTGCTTTTCTATGGTGACAAATGCACTCATTAAAAATGGAGTTACAGGGGCCTGGGGGATAACTGAGTTGGTCAAGTATTTGCGACACATCCATAAGTACTGGAGTTAGATCCTTAGTAGCCGTGTGAAAACCTGGGTGCAGTGGCCCTTGTTTGTAATTGCAGAGAAGGCAGAGACAGGAGGACCCTTGGGCATCAGTGGCCAGCCAGCCTAGCCTAACCATGCAGTCCCAGGTCTTACTGAGAGACTGTAGCAAAAACAAAAAACAAAAAACAAAAACCAGACCAAGGTGAGGAACAAGTTAGACCTTTGGTCTTCAAATACATGTTTGTACACACACACATACACACACACACACACACACACACACACACTGCCATAAAATGGACCATATCATTATAAACTCTTCTGGTTGAAAATGAAAAGTGACATCAGCTATCTGCTTGCTAAAATATTTTCTCCTTGGGAAGGAATTTTGCTGTATATTCTCATGATTTGAATTTTAGAAATATAGAGAACTACTTAGAAAGCGTCATTAAGTTACAAATTATGTCTAACAATAAGCTGGGCAAACATTTTATTATTTTTTTCTTTTATTAAAAATTCATTTTTCCCCCACATATCTTGATTACAGTTTCCCCTCCCTCTACACCTCCCAGTTCCTCCCCACCTCCTCTCTCATCTGGATGCATACCCTTTTTGTCTTTCATTAGAAAACAAACAGGCTTTTAAGGGATAATAATAAAATGAAGTAAAACAAAAACTAACACATTGGTGTTAGACAAGGCAAACAGAAGGAAAAGAGCCCAAGAGGAGGCACAAGAATCAGAGATCCATTTGTATGTACAACTCAGAAGTTCCATAACAAAACCCACTAAACTGGAAGCCACACACACACACATACACACACACACACACACACACACACACACACCTGGCACAGACCTGTGCAGATCCTGTGCATGCTGCCCCAGTCTCTGTGAATTCTCATGTGCTTCGATCATGCTGATTTAGAGGACATTGTTTTTTTTTTAATGTCCTCTGGCTTTGGCACTCTTTCCACTCCCTTTTTCACAGGGTCCCCCTGAGGCCTGAGGGGAGGGATTTGTTGGAGACATACCATTTAGGGCTGAGTGTTCCAAGGTCTTTCACTCTCTGCATAATGTCTGACTGTGGTCTCTGTATTTGTTCCTATCGCTGTAGGAGGAAGCTTCTCTGATGATAGCTGACCAAGGCACTGATCTGATCATTGAGTGTAGCAAAAAGCATTAGGAGTCATTTTATTGCTAGTTTTTTTTTCCTTCAAAGAATGGTAGAGTTTTGTGTTACCCTAGGTCCCTCCCTGGGCTATCCAGTCTCTGGTTCTTGGTCACCCAAGCAGTGTTGGGTGTGGATTCCATGTCGCAGGATGGGCCTTAAGTCAAATCAGATATTGGTTGGTTGCTTCCACAAGCTTTGTGCGACTATTGCCCTAGCATATCTTGTAGGCAAGACAGCATTGTAGATCAAAGGGTTGTGGCTGGCTTGGTGTTTACATTTCTCTTTTGGTAGTGTACAGAGTACCTTTCTGTGCCAAAGATGCTAGAATGTAGGGGTGAAGGCTCAATGTAGGCACCAGCTCAACTTCTCTATGCGCAATGAGTTGTGTAGGTGTTGTCTTCAGCAATGGAACCTTGTTAGTTTGTGGAGAGCAACCTAATCTTGGCAAAAGTCTAGGTTGTTTGCGGATTCCTATGGGTTCCCTTTGGCCAACAACTCAATTAGATGTAATGCATTTCCAGTACTGGGAGCTTCATTTAGTGATAAGGGATGGCTAGTGATGTCATTTAGGTTGCCTTCATATATGTATATATTTTAGGAAGCTTATACTGTATTAGTTTTCCTTACTATCTTTCAATTGGCCTTTAATTTTATCTGTCTCTCCCTTTGTTCCTTCCCTCATCCCCCTCTTCCCTCCCCCTAATTGATCCTCCCATTCCATCCCATCCATCCATAACTATCTACTTTATTTCTTTTTCCTTTTTTTTTTCATTTTTTGAGACAGAGTTTCTCTGTGTAGTTTTGGTGCCTGTCCTGGATCTCACTCTGTAGACCAGACTAGCCTCGAACTCACAGAGATCCACCTGCCTCTGCCTCCCGAGTGCTGGGATTAAAGGTGTGTGCCACTACTGCCTGGCTCTATTTCTTTTTCCTAACAAGATCTTTTTGTCTCCTCTAGTCCCTTACTCTATATCTAACCTCTGTGGTTCTATAAATTGTATCTTGGTTATTGACTTAACAACTAATATCCACATATAAGTGAATACATACCGTATTTGTCTTTTTGGCTCTGGGATACCTTACTCAGAATCATTGTTTCTAGTTCCATCCATTTACTTGTGGATTTCATTTCGTTTTAACAGCTGAATAATGCTTCACTGTGTAAATGAACCACATTTTCTTTACCCATTCTTCTGTTGAGGGACATTTAGGTTGTTTCCAGTTTCTGGCTATTTTGATTAGGACAGCAATGGGCATGATTAAGCTAATGTCTTTGTGGCTGGATGAAGTGTCTTTTAGGTATATGCTCAAGAGTGGCAAAGCTGGATCTTGTGGTAGAACAATTCTCACCTTCCTGAGGTACTGCCATATTGGTTTCCATAGTGACTGTACAAGTTTGCACTTCCACCAGCAGTGGGGAGGAGTGTTCCGCTTGTTCCACATCTGCACCAGCATCAACTGTCATGTGTGTTATTGATCTTAGCCCTTCTGATGGGCGTAAGGTGAAATCTCATATTTTTGGTTGTTAGCCTAGCTTTTAATGGCTGAGCCATCTTTCCAGCCTAAGATGAAATCCCAGAGTAGTTTTGATTTGCATTTTCCTGATGGCTTAAGATGTTAAGCACTTAAGTGTTTCTCAGTCATTTGAATTTTCTCTGTTGAAAATTTTCTGTTTAGATCTGTATCTCATTTTTTAACTGGGTCATTTGTTTTCGTGATACATAGTTTCTTGAGTTCTTTATATATTTTGGATGTTAGCCCTCAATTGGATGTGTAGTTCATAAAAATCTTTTCCCATCCTGTAGGCTGCCATGTTGTCTGAATGACAGTATTTGTTGCTAGAACAAACATTTTATAATAAGCATTATGACAAGTGTGTACACATACTAGGAATTATATACTAGGGGTCCTAACTTTTAGATGAGGAAACTGATGCTGAGATAAGAAATTCTGTCTGACGTTGAACAGAATGTGAGGTCAACTCCCCACATTCTGTAGTTGTCCTCTTGACTTTTCCTTCTGGCTGCTGGTGAAGTAGCTGCCTCCTTAGAGCTGGTACTCAGACCTAGTCCTGAAAACCCTCATGCCTAAGGGGAACCTTGGCCATGAAGCATTTGAATGCCCTCAGTTCCGAGCTGTCCTTGTATTCCACAGGAAACCCTTGAGAACTTGGGTCAAAGCATTACTGTTGGGCATTTTAAATAAGGAAGATAAAGGAAGACTTGAAGGGAGATAGGAAGAAGGATCAGCCCCCTCCCCCCATGTGCTCTGGCTGTCCCGGGACTAACTCACCAGGCTGGCCTCAAACTCACAGAGATTGCTTGCCACTGCCTCACAAGTGCCAGGATTAAAGACGTGAATCACCATGACTAGCCTTTTATTTCCTTTGTTCAGTGGTTTCCAATGTAATGAGTTGGTTTCCTAGGATCTTCCAAATAGAACCACTGAAATTCATTTGTATCTTTAATATGCTGTGGACTTCTGAACTGAAGTGTACATTCAGCGTGTCCTATGCAGTTACCACCCATGTCCCTATTGTTCCATCACTGACACGGGAAGAAGCCTCTTCAGATGAGCTCCCAAAGCCCTTTGACGTTTCAGGAACCTTTGGACAGTTTCCCTGCTCTCTGCCATGACAAAGTCTCAGGCACATCATTTCATGCCCCAGACCTAGAAGTGACCATGTCTTTAGGAGGAGGCATTTCTTTCTGATGGGAAGTTTATAATTAGGAACCCCAGCTCAGTGTTGGGTTGTCCTTACATGTAGGTCATCTCTAAACTGTTTCCTATTGAAAGTTGGCATGTATACATGGATATGATGAATTGTGTTGTCTTAGTAGGTTCAACAAGTTGTATTCTGACTCACAGGATAGTCTTAAGCCACACATGAAATCACATTCACCGAGAAAGACGCAGGACAGTTCACCTGGCTTGCTGGCAGGTTGGCATTAGGTATCATGGAGAATCAGCAGTCAGGAATTTCCAATGTTATGGCATTCTACTATGTATTTATAATTCATACACAGAGTAATTTATAAATTATCTCATTTAAGCAATGTTACCAGGTAGTGTAGCACAAATTGTTAGAAGGCCTTATTAATAAAATCAAACCTGAAGCCAGGTATTGGGGTGAATGCTGGGAGATCAGAGAAGCAGAGCAAGTCACAGCTTCCTCACCTTGCAATTCCTCAGCTGATCCTGTTTCCTCAGACTGGACTGTGTCCTCATCCAAATGGATCTCAGCTGAACTGCTGCTCAAAAGCCTAAAAGCTTAACCAGCTCTAGTTCCTGGTCCTCATACCTTTTATACCTTCTGTTTTCTGCCATCACTTCCTGGGATTAAAGGCATGAGTTACCATAAATGGCTGTTTCTAGTGTGGCTTTGAACTCACCGAGATCCTCATGGATCTCTGACTCTGGAATGCTAGGATTAAAGGTGTGTGTGCCACCATTTTCTGGCCTCTATGTCTAGTGGCTGTTCTGTTCTCTGACCCCAGATAAGTTTATTAGGGTTCACAATATTTTGGGGAGTACAATATCACCATAAGGTAGCATAGTTGACTTTTGTCAGCTGACCTAGAAAAAGGGGTAGAAAACTTTTAAAAGATAAAACATACCATGAAGTATTCATGCAGATACTTAGATCTATAATTTAAAACTGTAAAATTTTTACTTAATATCATTAATCTCATGCCTGTATTTCATCTTTCTCATGTCAAAAATACCAGTTCCAAGTGACATTAGCATAATTAATGACTTGTTTTATCCCTTAGTACACATGTAACAGCCTCCTAATCCCAACCCCAGCTCTGCCATTGCAAGATGATTACTGAATGAGTTCAAGACTTTGTCCTTAAATTCCTTTTTGTCCTTAGTGTATACCCCTAAGGATGCAGGGTTAAATCATGTTTTCAGTTTACTTGAAATAGTTGTCTCTACCTATGCCACTATATGACAAACATGTTTAATATTTGCAGATTGCTTTTAAATGTTAATTTTGTACTAATGACACAGTTGCGTTGTTTAACTCTGTCAAATGTAAGCTTCTAAAGTCCAATCTGTAAAGCAGAATGTGCTCAGAGAGGTCTGGTTTCTGGCCCTCCTATGCTCTGCTGTTGTCTTTCTGGGCAATCATTGTCTTATTTTGTCTTTTCAAGACACAGTTTCTCAGTGTAATAGCTCTGGTTGCCTTGGAACTCACTTTGTAGACCAGGCTGACCTCGAACTCACAGAGCTCCTCTTGCTTCTGTCTCCTGAGTGCTTGGATTAAAGATGTGTGCCACCACTGCCTGGGCTGCAACCACTGTCTTTTAAATTACAATCTTGGTTTATTATTTTCTTAAAAAATAAGCAAAAGGTGGAATTTTTAAAGTTTTCATTTAAGCAGTTGCAGATAATACTTTTTCTGCTTTGCTTTCTTTGCTGGTATTCTTGATTCATGACATTGTATAGACTATTCCTCATTGGCTTGTTTTCTTTACTAGGTTGAATACTTGTGAGCCTGCATTGCTCTTTATACAAGCAGTTTGGGGGTGTTTCCAGTCTTTGTCATTACAAATGGCACCAGTAAACATTCCTGTGATCATGGTCACATTTGCTTTGCTTTACCTGTCCATCCGTTTAATCTGGCCATTGATTTCAGCTCTGGAATTGAATCTCGATGCTTCCCAGCCTAAACAAAGTCAAGTGACTCTTCTTTCTCTAATTTACCATTGTTACAGGCAACAAGATTGACCTGGCTGAAAGGAGAGAGGTCTCCCAACAGAGGGCAGAGGAATTCTCAGAGGCTCAGGACATGTATTACCTGGAGACTTCAGCCAAGGAATCTGATAATGTGGAGAAACTCTTCCTTGACTTAGCATGCCGACTCATCAGTGAAGCAAGACAGAATACACTGGTGAACAATGTATCTTCACCCTTACCCGGAGAGGGGAAAAGCATCAGCTATTTGACTTGTTGTAATTTCAACTAAAGGCTGAGGCAAAGAGAATCAAAGGGAATCAGTAGTTGCCTTGGTGGGCCGTATGTTGCTAGGGAATCTGGCAATGACTATGGCTCCTGCTCTTGGACCTTCTGACTCCTGTAGGCTCCAGAGCTTACAAAGCATGCAGGCCAAGGGCCTCGACTGCAGGCCAGCATTAGCAGAACACATAATGGTTTCAGCCTTTTGCAGTCTGGCATTGGAGCAAGGAGAAAATTGCACTAAGCGCTCCATGATCTGCAGAGCATGTTGCTTTTGTTTTTTAAAAAGCAAGTAAAAATGCATTCCTGAACACAGTGCAGGGGATCGTGTACTGCAGGAATCCCTCCTGTGTGTCAGCGGGTGCATGTGGGGCTGTTCTCTAGGCTTCAGTGGTAATCTGGTGCCCGTGGTTTTCTTGTCTACCAGGTAAACCAAAACTGGAAAGGCCCAGTTCTGTCTCTGTGGTACTTATTGACAACCCCATGGAGATTTTGAAAAGTGTTATTTCTTTTGTCCACAAGCACTTTCAAAACCTTTGGGATGTAAAAACAAAAACTCTTCTCATGACCAACAGTAAAAATTATTGTCTAATAACATACAGCTCCATGACTCCTTTTGGTGCTAATGATTATGGTATTTCACAGACCAAACGTTTTACTACATTGATATTGATACCCTTAGATGTATTACCTAGAAATAAAAAGAAAATGGGGGAAATCCATGAATCAGCAGTCTTTTTCAACGCTTCATTACCACCTTTTCTAGGATGGGTTTGGACATGAGAATCCCTTTTCTTTCATATTCTCCTTGAAATTTCTAAACTTTCTCCTGTTCTTTCAAACACCTTTCCTGCCCTTTAAGTAAATCAAAGTCTGAAAAAAAAATGGGGAAAAATACAATGGATGATGGTGTTAAAATAAAAAAGATTAGTTGTAAGACATTTTGAGTAGCGTGGGAAAACAGAGCAGATATGACCAAAATACTGTGGAATACGGACTTACTGCAGAGCAGGGTTCCAGACAGAGCACAGTCCTTCATAACAAGACGCACCTTTTCCTTTCTGGAACTACCCTTGGCTAGACCAAGGCTTAGGAGTTTGTAGACATTTTTAGTATGATAAGTGAGAATAGCAACAGATGAAAAGTTTCACAAACCATTTTTGTATCTTCAAGAAACTTAGGAAAGGCCTGCTTGGGAAGCAAGCCAAGTTGTCATTTATCATCTTATATTAATGTTGATCTCAGATTCATGACAATGCATTCTTTTACCTTTATCTTTTCTTTCCCCTGGTCTCACCTCAGAGCTTTCCTTTCCTCTCCCTCTTCTTCCTTTCCATTCTGGTATGCATGTGTTACTGCAAATCTCCAATTCAAATGGAGGTGTAAATGCCTTTACTTAGCCAATTTCAAAACAGGTTTCAGATTGGAAGATGTGCTGCTGAATGGGTTCCTGTTTCTTCAGTGCTATGATTTGATACCTTCTAATTTGTTCATGCTCATGAATGCAAATTGCAACAGCAATTAAATCTGTATATGCTGTTGGCGCTGTCAGGTGTTTCTGGGCTTGCTGTATAGCATAACTGAGTGATGAATCACTGAATGAGGATATGACGTGTAATTCCACTGTTGGTATTGATGGTGACAATCTTGGACCTGACATGACACTCTTGGAAAGCTACTGAATTGTAAAGCAGTGAGTCAACGCAGCCGGCTATTGGTAACACATTTCTAGCGTTTATCTAGCAGACTTCATAATGTCCAATCTCTCACATGGGACTGCGTGTATTATTACCCATCATTGGTATTATAACTTGCTCTCTATGCTTTCCTTCATTCTATAAGAAAGAGAAAGGCTTGCCAAAAGTTTGCACTGCCTCTATACAGGGAGAAAAATCACTTGAATCGAAAATCAAAATCATTTATCATTACCTTGACTTTTCTATTAAGCCAACAACTAAAGGCATCAAAAGATAAACTAATCAAGGTTACAGAAGAATTTATCTTTCTTCTATGAGAGAATGTCCCTAAATTTAGATTTATTACTTTTCTTTACCAAAAACTTCTGATCTCCTCTGCATATGATGACTCAGCCTTGTCTCACAGCACGGTTAAAAATAATGTTGCGAGCTGGAGAGATGGCTCAGAGGTTAAGAGCACTGACTGTTCTTCCAGAGGTCCTGAGTTCAATTCCCAGCAACCACATGGTGGCTCACAACCATCTGTAATGAGATCTGGCGCCCTCTTCTGGCGTGCAGTTATACATGCTGTATACATAATAAATACATCTTTAAAAAAAGAAAAAAAAAAAAAAATAATGTTGCTTTGTGAACTTTAAGGGCTTTGTTAGAATGGACTAATTTAGTTCCAGAATAACAGTTTCTGGGGTCACAGTTATGTTACGTTATTCTTATTTCTTAAGCATATAGCACCCCCATCTGCCCTCCAGGTTCAGAAGCAGCTCAGGAGCTCTACTCCAGTTCCTCTTCCCCTGGGTCTCTGAGACGTTCAGGAGATCACAGTCATCAATCCTTGGGCCGTTAGTGTGGACACCTGAGAAGCTGGACCCTTACGTTCCACAGTTCTGTGACTTTCAGATTAGGCGTTTTGGATATTTGTCCAGTGATGTGTCTCAAATTTGAGAACAATCTTTGACAATATTATAGGTGCAATAAATACCAGTTTAATAAATGATTCATTGCCAAGATGTTTTTTGTTTGTTTTTTTAAACGAAAGTCCTTAAAGTGGTAATTGAGAAAGAGTTATCTTAATCTAGGGAAGGACATAAATATTATTTTGCCTAATAATTCTTATTGGCAGGGCAATATCTGCTCTGATAAGCCAGTTTTACATAAAATTATTTAATGGTGAAAAAAAAACCCAAGATTTGGTTTATTGTAATGTATTTTGGCTTATCCTGACAAAACCATATCTTCTTACATTTGTGAAATGATATTTTTCTTTTTTTAAATAAAATTATTAAATACATGGCAATCTTCTGTAGCTTCCAATGAAAATACATGTTCAGGTTCTAGAGTCACGCTGGGAAAAGATCTATGGAATCATATGATTGTCTGGTATAGCTTTGTATAGACTGTATCCTCAAGGACTTAGTGATTTCTCCTTTTCCTACACAAAGCTGTGTTCCTTTGTATTTTTTATGAGATCTGTTGGATTATATTAATATTTAATTATATAGAGCCAATTATCTTTTGTGTAGACTTGTAAGTTGACATCATTGGCTTTTTCTGGCTTTCATTTCTCACCCATATTTTAGTTCTTTTTGATATCAGCATCTTCCCTAAGTGGCAAGACAATAACTAAACATGAAACAAATGTATTAGCATGACAGTACATCAAGTTCTGATTGGGAAACTGAGAGACCACTGACCAAAACAGGATGTTTGGACTAGCATGATTCAAGGCAATGAGGCTTGATGGAGGGAGGAAGCAGATTCTTTATCTTCTTTTCATGAAAGTATTCCTTGGAAGGACCCTAGTGACTGACTCCCAGTGTTAGATCAAGGATTGGCCAGTCTACTCTTTGGGCTATCCCACAGCATCAACTTTCAGTTAGACTGATTCTGAAAAAATATCAGTTTCAAATCATTTTGAACTTTTTCTCGCCGCGCCCCCCCCCCCCCGCCCGCCCCCACGTATGATACCAGTGGCCTTAAAGATAGGGAAAGTTTCTGAGTCTTTTTTTTTTTTTTTTTGGTTTTTCAAGAACAGGGTTTCTCTGTGTAGCTTTGCGCCTTTCCTGGAACTCGCTTTGGAGACCAGGCTGACCTTGAACTCACAGAGATCTGCCTGCCTATGCCTCCCGAGTTCTAGGATTAAAGGTGTGCGCCACCACCGCCCGGCAAGTTTCTGAGTCTTATTCCTACAGGACACTGTAGCACATGGCCATACATACGTAAGGATCGCTTTCCTATTAGCTTCTGGAAGAAGTTGCAGGTTTGGGTGTTTTTTGTTTTTGTTTTGTTTTGTTTTGAGAATTTGTAACTGCCATGGTTTCCTTTCTTCCTTCAGCCATGGTCTTGACAGGTTTGTTTCACATCTCTTCCTTCTGACAAAATGTGTTCCACCTAAGCAATTACTGTTAAACACTAAACAAAGATGTATTTTCTCCTCTGGGTTTTCTGTTCCTGTGGCATGAGTTTATCTGTGTTTGAAAGGAACACTGCCTTCCCTTACACTGTACACACAGGTAATATTAGTTTGATATTATCCCTTCAGATCAGTCATTAATATTGAATAATGTAGCTGGCATTTCATCTCCTTCCTAAATCTCAGGATGTTCTTGGTATAATTACTCCTGGGAGGCACTGCCTTTTTTGTTTTGTTTTGTTGTTATTTTGAGACCAGGTCTTAGTCTACATAGAAATCACATTGTAGTTCAGACTGGCTTTGAACATTTTCTTGCCTCAGTCTTACTGGGAGTATAGATGTGAGCCACACTGCTATCTTGGTGATCTTTGAAATTAAAAACAAACAGAGGGATAACTCGCTGTGTAAATGAGCTTAACATTTAAGATAGTTAAAGATTATTTGAAGGATTTTTGTGGGATGTGGCATAGAGAGGAATATAACTAGTAGATGCTTCACAGTTCAAAGAGGTAGAATGCAGACCACCACATTAAATAAAGCCCTAGAGCTGCAGACTGGGCTCTGTGTTAGGGAGGATTTCTCAAAACATTGGAACCCTCTGGTAGCGACTGCCTTTCTGTCAAGCAAAGGGTAGATATAAACTGTAAAGAAAATGTGGAGATGACCTACCTTGTTGATTGAGGGTTGAACCAGATGCTCTAGTAACTCAAATTTCTATATGGTAGTACCTTTCCTTATGCTCAACTAAATATATGTTGACCAGCAACTAATGACATTTAAAAGAGAAAAGGCTTTTTCTACTGTCATAAATGCACTACCTTCTAGGGAAAAGGTTAACTATGTATCCTTAGGCCAAACTATGTATCCTTAGGCTAAACTAGAAATGCCTTGTCAGTCCCTGTTGAAATCAAACTGGCTTCCATGTTAAAAATGGAAGAGGTATGTATCATTTAGGCCAGGGCTATGTGAAATCATGGAAATTATTCATCTCATTTGGCTTAGTACACAATGTCTTCTCTTCGGAATTTTAGAAGTGTTTTAGCGTAAGAGGATCCTCCATTAAAGAGTCCCTCAGTAGTCCAGTGTTCCATGAGAGGAGGATAAGGAGGGTCATCGGCAGAAATCCATCCTTAAGATCTGCTTGAGGAAGTCTCAAATGACATTTGATAGGTTTTCTTGATTTGGGGGAAAGTGAGTTTGAAAGGGTGAAGGCCAATTGGCTTTATGTACAAAGTAACAAAACAGGGCTTTAACTTGAAAATAAAATCACTTAAAGCAGTTTTTGCTAATTAAAATTTATGAAATTCCATTTTTAAAATAGCGTATACCCTTTCCAGTCTGACAGGTGGCTCTTCCTTAGTCTTTACAAAAGCAAACCATTGCGCTTGAATCAGTATGGGGAGAAATATACTTAATTTGGGTGGGACTTTCTCTGACTCCTTGTAGAGGAAATCTGAAGACAAAGGCTGGTTGCCAGTTCTTCTTTGGCCTCATCAGGTGTATGAGTTTATTTTTATTTTTATTTTTCTTGCTTTTCACCGATTTAAAGCAGAATGGCAGATGCTGAGCCATATTCCAATGAAATTCTTGGTCAGTGGCGATGCCAGAGGGTGATAAAGGGAGAGGCATAAAAGTGGGGCACTAGGTTAGCTGTGTGCAGCCTTACAATATAAAAGTTAGTGAAGGCTGTGGGCAAAGTTTGAACTGGAGTTTTCTCATCTGTGAGATGAACCTGTTAGGAATATGCTGAAAATTAGATGAGGTAAATTAAAAATATGTTGCTCAGCAAATAGGAGGAACTCAGATATTAGGGTTTTTTGTTTTTGTTTTTGTTTTTTCTCTACCTACTCTAGACTTTGGAAGTAGGGGCACTGACATGTGACTTTAGTCCCAGGTACTGGGGAAGCCGAGGTGGGAGCTAGGGTAACAAAGGGAGACTCCATTTCTAGACTTTAAGAAATGGTTTGGGGCAGTCTGTTACAAAGAAAAGAATTCTATTTCTACAAGGAAATCTCTAATTCACTTTGTTTCTTTCCATACATCTTGGGAGACATTCTGTCTCAACAGACGATTCCAGGGTTGTAAATTCTTTATCAGGAAACTCTCTCTTAGAACTGAAATACCTCACAGTGCAATGAAAACCTCTTCTTGGTCTCATTCTCCATGGGAAGACCATGCCCTGGTTGTTATCTTTAAGGGGTTACATTTGCTGTCTACTGTCGCCCTTGTTTGTGTTTGAAAACTAGGTCACAAAAGCATGTTAAGGTGGTTATTGTTATCCTCTTGGTGAACATCAGGGTAGTTGTTGACTCTTAGTTTCTTACTGGGATCAGATTTAGATAATGATACTATTGATTAGCTCTTCAATTACTCATGCATTTCTCCTGTTACTAATAATGTATAATGAATGACCAAGAAAGAGTAATTCTGGTTGTGTGGCTCTTCTTTCCATCTGTAGGTAAAAATGGAATCATAAATCCCAGTTATAGGGTCTGCTTTTAGAATTTAATTCCATATATGACATCACTTGAATGTATTACTAATACTCCAAGATATTTTTATCCTTCTTTCTATGTATGTGCTACATTTTGAAATAAAAATTGGGGTACTAATCTCCCAATAGAGCAAAAATTCAAATACAGAGTAAGAAAAGAATCTGTTTGGTTAGAATAATTCATTAGTTGGTGAATGGCACATAGCTTTTGTTTAAGATTACACAGTTATGCCTGGGTAGAATAATAATAATAATAATAATAAACTTGATAAAGCCCTCTGAAAAAAAGCTGCTAAGCATATTGCTTCTGGAATGTAATCATTAGGAATAAATATTCTCATGTCCTATACAATTACAGAATGTTAGTGGAACTTTCTTGTAGACTATTTGACAATGAATGTCAGTTGATTTACTAAATGATTTTTTAAAGTAATTTTATCCTTTAAGGACTGGTTGGGATTTTCAGGTCCCTGACATAAAACATTTCGAATGATTGGAATGCTGGCTTCTAACTTCTACTCATTGGAGTGTCCGTCTAGACATACCAGATGGTTAGAGCTCCCTTGATGGTGTGTAAACAAGACACACAAAGCTGTCTTAACTAGTGCATGAGTAAAATTGCTATTTTCAGAAAAGAACAAAATCCTGCTAAAAATTTCAATAAAGAACTAAGACAAGAATTTTAAAAAAAGTATGCCCTGTATATTATTGCACACACTTTATTGCATGACTTTTAGCATAGGGATGAAATAAAATACAAAATATTTAATTCTGGAGATCTCAGCAGCTAGTTAAAATATTTACAGAAGCTGCTTTGTGAAGACTTAGAAAATCCTTGATTTTCTTCATTTTCTTAATCTCTCCATTAAAACACAGATATTTTACATATACAGTTTCAGCAAACAGGTTGACCAGTGAATTTTACAAACTCAATTCCCAATATATGGCTACTGGTGTTATGCATAAGATCTCAGTAAACGACACATATATATCACTATATAAATTCTAACAATCTACTTTAATATAAGCATAGTTCTTGGTTTTAAATGTCAATATACAGATATTAACAGTACAATATATATTTTGTGTCCATGTATTATTTTTACTTAACAAAAAGGCCATTAGAAATATAAGCCACTGGTAACCCAAGTACAATTAGTTAAATACATTGTGTAGAAAGAAGATTTATAAAAAAAAAATTCAATCCAGTTTCAAAAAGGGGACAAGGAAGAACCAGGAACCCAAACAAAATGTTTTAAAGTTAAATTATGTCTTTTAAACATTCACACAATCCACACACAGTAACTCACCCCTTTGAAGTATAAAATGCAGTGTTTTTAGTATACTCATTATATTGTACATTTCACTACTCTCTAACTTCAGAATATGTCATTCCCAAAAGGCTCTGTATCCATTAGCAGGCAAACTTCCTCCTTCCCCTGCATCTGGCAATGGTCCATCTGTTTTCTGTCTCTATGGATTTGCTTTTCATATAATATAACCATACAATGTGTGGCCTCTTGTGCCTGGCTTCTGTTAAGATTTTCAAGGCTCATCTGTGTTGTAGCATGAGTCAGAACATCCTTTTTATGGCTAAGTAATATTCCATTGTGTGTATGTGTATATATGTGTGTGTGTGTGTGTGTATGTGTGTTGTGTGTGAGTGTGTGTATTATTTTATTTGTGACCTTATCACATTTTGGATATTTAGATTGTTTCTACTTTCTGGTTAGCATAAGTAATGCTGCTAGAACATTTATGTAATTTTTGTACATGGTCATATGGTTTCTTACACATCTCAAAAACAATTAGACTAACAAATCAAGCAATTTGTATTTATTTAAATAGAACATCTTAAAGTCCTGCTTGGAGAATGAAACTTATGATCTTGCTTAAATTGATCAACAGGACCCCTGAATAATGCCTAGCTGTCAGGTTTATTTGTGAGAATCTTTCTGTGAGGATGTCATTTTAATATTGTTACCAATTTTATGAGGACTCCTTCAGTCTTTGTAGAAATTACATTGTCATCACTGAGAATTTCAAAGTGCTCAGCATTCCTTTAAAGACAGCTACCAATCATACTGGAGAAGGCATTCATTAAACCTGGTAGGATCATTCAATCAATGAAGGAGCATTTTAAAGGCATGGTTTCTTATTTATCAAGTATCTCAACATTTGGATCTTCCTCCTTGGAAAAAAGATCATCAAATCGCCAAACCTACTGACTGTTGTAGTTTAAGTTTTATTATTAAGAAGTAATTCATAACGAGAGTAAAAGTGTAAAGGATGTATTTTGTGTGTAAAGAATGAATGTATTTAACAAAATCTTTTTATTTGCAATGATTTTTTTAAAAAGCTGAATGGAAATTGATTTCCCATGTACTTGTACATAAATAAACATTTCCTGTTGCCCCCAATTGGAGAGTTGTATGCCATGTCAATATGTCAAAACCAAATGAGCTTCCAGTACACTCATATCCTTCAGTCTAATGTGAAATGTGCCCTGCATGTGGGGCTCCAGATCCTCTGAGTTTGAGTGTTGATTTTTTAGCTGGCAGACCTGTGACAAGTCATTGAACATTTTGTGTATTTTCTCCTCTATGATAGAGCCTATAATAAATCACCTTAAAAGCTTCTTTGGGTTATAACACTAAATGAGACTAAATGAGAATATTACTCTGTCATATTCAGGATGTGAAAATCATCCATGTTAGTTACTGATAATGATGAGAAAGTTGCTTTATCCTATGATGCATTAGATGGGGTAATACACTGGTAACCAGGAGTATTAACTGTATTCTTGTCTCAGTATAACATTAGTGTAATCATGTTTTTCAACCTTTAATTTTTCAATTTCAAAGTAAGGGTATCTCTATGTTTCCTTCTAGCTAAATACATTACATAGTTCTGAAGAGATCTCACTTAAGATGTTTGCTACACAATTAAAAATGGGAGCACTTATTAATTACTAGTGAGGCATCCATCCATTCATTTATATATTTACCATTTATTGAGCATGTAGTATAAGGCAAACCTGGCCCTGCCCCTTACCAGTACTATAGCAAGAGTCAAAGATACATACTTTTTCTCAAACTTCATTTTATCTCTGTAGCCGGAAGGTTTCTCCTGTCCTGCCCAGCACTGAGGTCCCTCAACCGTTTATAAAATAATCATTAAGAGGCTTAATATTATTTACAAACTGTATGGTCAATGGCTTAAGCTTCTTGCTAGCTAGCTCTTATAACTTTACCCATTTCTATTTATCTATAAGTTGCCATGTAGCTTCATGGCTTACCTGTACTTTCACATCTTGCTTCTCCTGGCAGTGGCTAGCAGCATCTCTCCCCACTCTTTCTTCTTCCTCTCTCTGTCTTGGATTTCCTGCCTGGTTATAACCTGATTTGCCATAGGCCAGAGCAGCTTCTTTATTAACCAATCATAGCAACATATATTCACAGCATACAGAAAGACATCCCCCAGTACTAGCAGCTGTGGGACCTTGGGGCCGGGCGAGACTGGAGAAACCTTCCGACTACACATCTCCAATACTTGGCTCTCACCTTCCGTCTTGTAACATTCATATGAAAGATGCATGACTTGGATTGAATGCAATAGCTGATTAGGAGCACTCAACACTCATCAGCTCTACTGTAAAGAAAAACAAAAGCAACAAAATATTGCTGCATTTTGAGATGAGTGATAATGGAGGATCACTGTAATCAACAGTACCTGGAACCTTGTAAGATTCAGGATCTTGGGACAATAGTATATTAAGAGAACCATCCAGGCATCTACCACCCCTCTGGTGGGTTAAGGGGGGAAAAAAAGTTCCAGTGAACCACCAGCAAGGTTGCTTACATTAATGGCTACTGCAAAGTTTTGCAACCCTTGTAGGCTTTTGTAACTGGATAAGCCTAAAATCTACTTAGTAGCTTTGCTTTGGAAAAGGATTTCATATCATTCTTCAGCAAGCCTACCATGAACTGTAGTGAGGAGCCATCTTGAAAAGGAATATCAGTAACCCCTGCACATACAATTTCTGGGATGTAACAAACACATATTCTATGGCACTAGCTCAGTGCTTAGTATCCTAGTTGAGAACCAAACTTGGCTCAACAAAGTGACTGTGACGAAAATCCATTGAGCACCCTATACTGTACAGATGGGTGATGCAAAATACAAGAGAAGGGAAGGATCAAAGGAGAGATCCTGTTGGGTGGTGGTGTTGCACGCTTTTGATCCCAGCATTTGGGAGGCAGAGGCAGGTAGATCTCTGAGTTCTAGGACAGCTTGGTCTACAGAATGAGTTCCAGGACAGCCAGCACTACACAGAGAAACCTTGTCTCAAGAGAGAGAGAGAGAGAGAGAGAGAGAGAGAGAGAGAGAGAGAGAGAGAGAGAGAGACCCTCTCTGGCTTCTATGTGCTCTTGTCATCATGATGCCTTTATAAAAGCCCCAGGCAGTATTGGTGCTATCCCTGAACTTCTAGAACTATGAGCTAAAGAAACACCTCTATAAAGAAAAAAAGAAAAGGATAGCGAGATCAACAGACTTGCATTCTGAGATGAGAAATGGGAGAAACCATGTAGAATCACACCTGTCTGTCACTCATGCTGGACTAACCACTCCTTTCAGTTTGGCACACGGGTGTCAGAAACAAGAAGACGCAAGTTTTGCTTCCACAGATGCCCACTCACAAGGGCATGCTGAGGTAGCTGGAAACAATGCCCTAGCTCTGTGCTGCTGCCCTGTCTTCCAGAGAGGAAGTTTCCTTGGGAGTGACTGTGACATACTAAGCTCACATGTGGAGGTACTTCAGTTCAAAGATTCTTAAGGAGAAAAGCCCTAGTCAATGGTTCATATCCTGTTTCATGGTGTGGCAGGAGCAGGGGCAAGGGTACAGCTCCTAATACTTCTACAGTAGCAGCAAAGAACACTACAATTCTTGCTGCTTTACAGTTCCTACTTCTACTGGCCCCATATGCTCTAATGACCGTGGACTGTTCTCAGGACTGGGTGTGACCACCATAAGTACTTTAGGCCCCTTACTACTTGGTGCAGGCAGTGCCAAAGACCCTTACCAGTAATACAGCCAACATCAACACCACCAAAGGATGCCACTACCACCTGATGTAGATTTTAGAAGTTTATCCCACGTCACTTTGCCTGACTGCTGGTGTGTTCATGGGGACCACAGAGCCCAAACAGTGCACATCCTGTTCACATCCATTAATCACACCTGGAGAAACTACAGGAAAGGGCTGGAGAGATGGCTCAGCAGTTTAGAGCATTTACTGTTCTTGCAGAGGACCTGGGTTCCATTCCTGGCACTCAAAAGGAGGCTCATAACAGTCTGTAAGTTCAGTTCCAGAGGATTCGAGACCAAAATGGCCTACTCTGGCACCAGGCATACACATGGTGCTCATACATGAATGTAGACAAAACACTCATATACATAAAGTAAAGTACTAAGATAAATCTTTTTTAAAAAGAAATTACAGGAGACTATACTTTGGTGCCTGTCCATCTGGAAAAAAAGCTAACAGTTTAAAACAAACTGATAACTGCACATCTTCAGGAGAATGCCACTTACTATGGCCACACTGTAAAAGCAGTTGAAAGAACCATGAGACATACAAATCTAAATGCACAAACCCAAGTCATATTAAAAAAATTTCTAAAAATCATTCTCTAGCAACAAATTCCAAAGAAACTGAAATGGATGAAAAGTCTGACAAATAATTCAGGAGAATGCTTGATAAAAAAATGTGATCCAAAAGAATTCAGATGAAAGGTTAGATGGAACTAGGAATACTTCTTAAATATGAATCTACTTCTTAGATTCTGAAAAGAAATTTTGAAAAAGAACCAAATAGAAACTTTGGAAAGGAAAGCCTGGAAAGAACAAATGAAAGATTCAACTTAAAATCTCAAAAAATAATGAAACAAAATATCTACATGGAAGACAGGTTTTAAAATATTCCATTCAGAAAAAAAGGCAACAGAAATGTAGATAAGAACAAAGCAAAGCCAGGCACATGCCTTTAATCTCAGCACTTGGGAGGCCAAAGGCAGGCGGATCTCTGTGAATTCAAGGCCAGCCTGGTCTACATGGTTCCAGGACAGCCAAGTCTACATAGATAGACCCTGTCTCAAACAAAGCAAAACAAAACAAAACAACAAAAAACCACCACCATCAAAAACCAAAAAAGTAAATATGAAAATACCAGAATAAAACCCAGTGCTTTGTATGCTCATTTGAAAAACTAATTAAAAATAGGAGAAACAGCTGGCCATAGTGGCATAACCTTTAATCCCAGCACTCAGAAGCCAAAGGCAGAAGGATCTCTGTGAGTTTGAAGTCAGCATGGTCTACATAAGTGAGTTCCATGTCAGCCAGGGGTACATAGTAAGACCCTGCTTCAGAAAAAGAAAAAAGAAGAAACAAAGAATGAAAAGAGAATTCATGGTCTTTGGCACACTATTAAAGATTAAACACCTATATTGTTAGTATACTCAAAAGAGATTAAGCACATAGCAAACCCATTAATGATGGTGGTACATACCTGTAATCTCTGTACTTGAGAAACTGAAGATCATGAGTTTGAGGTTTATACAGCAAACCTGTCTCAAGAAATAAAACAAAATAGTTAAACAGCAACCATATTTAATGAAATGATAGCAGAAAATTCTCTTTTCTTGAGAATGACACAGGCACCCAAAATCAAGAGGCTTATGTAAATGTAACCCCAACTACAAACAGCCAGAAATGATCTCCTCCACAGCACACTGTTATCAAATTTGTCAATTACAGTTCAAAATTTAAAATCTGCAGAAGAAAAGTCCCAAGTCACACTTAAGTGCAACTGTATCAGAGTCTAGCAGATTTTTCAGCAGAAACTCTTAACAGACAAGAAGGGGATAGAATGACAGGTTACAAGTCCCCAAATAGTACCAGCCAACTATTAGAAGGTATGGCTTTGTTGGAGTAGGTGTGGCCTTGTTGAAAGAAGTGTGTCACTGTGGGAGTGGGCTTTGAGGTCTCCTATACTCAAGCTATGCTCAGTATGACACACAGTTCACTTCCTGTTGCCTGTAGATCAAGATGTAGAATCCTCAGCTCCTTCTCCAAAGTCAAAAGTATCATTATTTGCAGATGATATGATACTATACATAAGCAACCCCCAAAACTACCAGGGAACTCTTACGGCTAATAAGCACCTTTAGTCAAGTGGCTGGATATAAGGTTAACTTAAAAAAATGGTAGCCCTCCTATATACAAATGATAAACAAGCTGAGAATGAAATCAGAGAATCAACATCCTTTACAATAATCTCAAATATCTTGGGGTAACTCTAACCAAGCAAGTGAAAGACCTGCGGGACAAGAACTTCAAGCCTTTGAAGAAAGAAATTGG